TCTGAAATTTGTAGTTTATAATTTTATTATCTTTATTTAAACGGTATAACGGATTTCGATTCATATTCTAATGATCTATAAAAATAATATTTAAATATAAAAATTCCTATAAAAAAATTAAGCTTCCATCTATTTTAGTATCCGATGTTAAAAGTATAATCAAGTTAGAGGTAAAAGCAATTAACCAGGAAAGTTTTAATATAATTTTGCATGTGGGAATCGCTGCCGCTCATAGCCATAGCCAGCCCAACTATAGCCACAACTCTGACCACTGCATGTAGTCCTAGTAATCAATAAACGGCAACATGTCCTTCGTGTATTGTAGCTAATGTATAAAACCCGGACTTACCTAGAATATATATGGAAATTCATACTACATACAGTCTAGAAACTTTGCTTTTTATATTATTTTGTACTTATTAAATTAATCCTAGTTTGATGAAGTATATTTATTTGTTTTATGCGAAATTTAAAAGGCTAAAATTAGACTAATTATATCGTATTTCTTCCTTATAATCCACGCTAGTATGCCGCATCGCGTGAACTTTCCCCCGACCTTGCGCTTGATATTTTTGGCAGTAACAAGCCACGGTTTGTGCAGATTCACCCTTGAAACATAATTTATTCATGTACTATGTTAATGTCTTATTTAAATGTATTTTTTGTTATTGCCATAATACTAAAAAGTCCTTGTTAGTTGAGGATTTAATTTTATGTCTGTTTGTGTTCTTTTTATTTCTTAATTGTAATAAGCAATTCTTATTCTTTCTGGGAGACTTCTTAATTATCTAGACAAATTATTCCGACGTAGGTATATATATAAATCATGTAATTTTAAACATGCGTATATTATCGTACTTTATACTAATAAAAAAATAAAATAAACTCTGCCTTATGTATATATTTTTTACACTTAATTGTTCAAACAAATTTAGGTTTGTATTAAAAATTTTCCATTATACATATTTTAACGCTGCTTTCATCTTAATTTTATAGTGTTGAATTCACTTTATATCAATGCGTATAATATTGTCCTTGAAAGCTAGTCCAAGTACTATGGTCGGATAGTTTGAGAAAGCTCCAGCATTATTTTGAAGACGCCGTTCTGTCGCGGCGTCGCGGCGCCCTGTCGTCCATATTACTCAGACGTTCCAGTAAACAATATGTGATACTTTATTGTTCTCAAACTCGATATTGCCTTTTTATATGACGCTGGAGGTTTAAAGATGAGTTTAAATGTACATATCACCTTTTAATCAGTATTAGTTTACAAAGGACAAAGTGTTGTTTTTAAGTGTAAAAAAGTACATAACACGTGTATCATTTCATATAAGATATGTATTGGTTCTAAAAGATTTTCATTCCAAAACTTGCAACTGTTCGGATCAGCTCGTATGATTGTTTAATCAAGCACAATATTATATATAAAGAATATGAAATTTATGTAAAGATTAAAGAGAAGCTATTATTTAGTTAAAAGAAGAAAAACTCTCTTTAATTTAATTGCACTGCAGTTATTGTTAAAAGCTTATTGTCTTTGCGGTCATTAATAGTAAATGGGTAACATTTATCTGGTGCTCGGAGTGAATAAGGTCTACTTCAACTTAGCGTATGCCCCCGGGGTGATGACAAGCAATCTCCATTTTTACGAAAATGAAGGCTACATAATGAGGAGAGATGCTGCGGTCTTTTGTCACATTTTGTTTTTCATATTTAATGTCAAGACTACAGTGACTAAATTGGGTTATATCTTTATCGTCCTATAAATTATAGCACAGAATATGTTGTGAGTCTCTTAATATTATATGTATAGTGATATTAATAGTGTTATTGATATATTTTTAATTTAAATATATAGAAAGTTGAACAGTAAAAAAAAATTGTTAAAATTCTGTGTGAATTTCATCAGATTATTTTCTTTATGTTGACAAGTTCAAATCTCTGCTAATTGCTGCTAAATCCTAATGCTAAATGCTGCTCTGCTGTTCAAATATTTTTACTCAGAGATAAAAAAAAGGCTTCAACATTTGTCAAATACGTGGCGTAGCGAATCGAATCACTCCTATCTATCACACTATGTTATATGAACATAAAACCCTAGCACATAGTGAAGTGTACTATTTATTAACAGTTTTTTCAAAATAATAAATACATTGAATTTGGAAATTTAATAAAAAATAAATAATTCACTCTTTTATTCCTTTGTTATATTTTTTCAAGAGTTTCTTTATTAAATAGTATTGAGTTTTTGTGTTATATTGTTTTTTGTCTACCGTTCTTTACAATTTACTCCTTTTAAAACCATCACCAGACGATATTATGATTATGCAATCTCATGAAAGACTTACACTTTGTATTTCGTACATCAAATGCCTTACTGTTACTGCAAGTTACTTCTCGTGTTATTCATAAACAATTCTAGATGACGCAAGTAATTTTCAAAAACACGTGATATGAAACTAAAAATAACAATAATTTAATACTCTCTTTTATAAACATGAACTATTTATGTAACATAAAGAAAAAAGTCGCCTATACATATAAATGTAGGTATTTGGGTGGATGTTATTTTCCTTCCCTTGTATTTGTTATTCGATTTTGATATTTCACAACAATAAAATATCCCGTTGTGAAATACGAAGACGGCCTAGATTCAAGAGAAATCGTTTTCGGCAGTTCATCCATTTTAATATAAAACGCCCTGAGGCTGACGAGGCCGCCCAATACACCGACAACATTTCCCCTTTTAACAAAATCGCTCAAAAAAGGCTTTGTTTCTGAGAACTTATTTATGAAAAATTTTATAACGAGGCACCGAAAGAGTTTCGACTTACTTTTACTGTTTACTTATTTTTAATATTCATTTTAAAGGGAAAACAAGGATAACATTGTATATTATATATAATCCACATTGTAAATACATACTAAAACTAGCATATAAGTTTTAACAGCTACAAACAACATATGTAGTTCCAGTAAAATTAACATAGAAACTCTTTAGTGATATTTATCTAATATCTTTACGTATACATTTCATAAAACCATCTCTTGAATGATTTAACTTTCGTTAAATTCAATGATGGAAATTTATTTCTTTATCAGATTTTACTTTTGAATGCATCAAAAGGACTCCAGTAACAGAATTATAAACAGTCGAATAAATCCCTCAAACCACAAAGGGTGAATCACTTCTATGGAAACTTTAGACAGCTTCAAAGCGACATCTGTGTCGTCTTATGAAAATAGTTAAGACATTTCCTTCCATGAAACACTTTTGGATCACTCAATATTATTTTAAACTAAATTTAATCACAACTTACAATAATTAGTTTTTTTTTTTACAATTATGTAAATATTATCGTACTATGATGACAATATGTTTAAAAAAGTATTGAAATCCCACAGGTATATAGTATCTGAAACTTAGTAGAAAGCTATTTACGTAGCTAAGACCTAAAATGAAAGCCAAGTATCTCGTTTACATATTCTATTTGAATTTCAATACAAAGATACATAAAAATAAATGTGAAAATATTTTGATAAAACCTTTCTGCCGTGAGAAAGCTAAGTGGTAGAGATTAGACGATACGGTTGTTTGAGCATTAATGTTAGCGGTTTGTGCCTCGCTGAAGATAATTTGTTATTACGATGACTTCTACTCCCTTTCGCTTTGTTTACTTAACACAATCAGAATAAAATTACGAATAGGAAAATTATTATTCACTTTTCCTTTTTGCAATTATATTTTGTAATTTACGAGTTAATTATATAAGAAAGAATTTGTATATACACATGTAAATATTGAAAATGATATTAAAATGCTGTAAATTAAGACCAATATTTTGAGGAAAATATAACATTCATTTAAATAAGTTAAATACCAGATTGTATACTATGTTTATTTCTTATATTTTCAACTTACAATATATAGGAAAATATTTTTAAATTAAAATAATTATATGATAATCTGTTATTTTATATAAGTAATATTATTAAACTTCCATGTAATGTAGTTAAATGTATGCAAAGCTCTTCAGCTTTATTATTATCACGGTGTAACTTTTGTTTGACGAATGAATATTGTACAGTGTTCCGTAATTTCTACATTAAACGTTAAAATATGTCAGCTCATGTTGATTTGACATTTACATATATTTCACCTGTTTACACAGTAGCGTTAATAATATTATTATATAATTTGAAACTTAGGATTAAAAGGACTTCTTAAGAGTAAAACCGATGTTATTCTTAGACTTCAAAGTAATAATGTTAATATTTCATTATAGCCGTGTATTCAAGGAATTAGAACAGATTCAAAATTATCAAGGGGATTACTTCAAACAGTTAAAATACCAGGGTTACCAACCTTTTTCCAAGCATGGAGAGATTTCGGATTTAAAACTTTTGTGAGAGTAATCAAACTTGTTTAAAGTATGTGAAAGGCTATTCTATATATTAATTTACATATTGGTTAACCCTGAGCCTGAAAGGGTCGAGATAATTACTGTGTATACTTTAGAGTTCCCATTAAAGGTCCGTTAAAGTTGTAGGCGTGTAGTTTACATGTGATTAGTCATGACGTCAATAAACTTAATATCCAAAAGAATTTGTTATAAATATATTCACGAGAACATTAAATGCTCGTTTACAAGTTCTTGTACAAGGAAATACAATGCCGTGGGGTAGCTTTAACTACGCGTAGCTATGGTTACAGGACGCCGCAGCAATTTTTGCCAGCCCTCCGCAGTAAGCACCCGAACGTCGCATCGGACGGATGTGTTAAAACACACCTTAAAATTATATCGAAGTTCTCTATAACAGTAATAAAAATATACTTAATACCATTCAGAATATAGTCTAGGAGACGTTACTATGTTTATAAGGAGTGTTAATTTTGATAAGCCAATTTGGATGCAGTTTGTGTGTTTGTCCGTGAGGCAAAGTGAGTGTTGGTGAATCATGAAGGGTTTTTTTGTTCGCGTAGTATATATTAAGAAACCATGACGTCACAAGGGCCTGCCAATATAATACCTGAAGATGACGAGGATTTGGTAAGTTCAATCTTGTTTTTGCGGAATGATTATGTAAGGTAACAAAAAAAATTTTGGGTCTCATCCAAGATGTTACATAAACTTATCTGCAGTACTGGCTAGTTTATATTCTAATGAATTGTTGTGATACTGCAATATCATTTACATACTATAAAAACATATTCATATCAACTCTAATGTGAAATAATAATTTAATAAAATAATATGCAAATTATTTGAGCTTATTTAAAGTTAGTGTGGGATAACTAAAACAATGACATGAAAAAAGTGATCTTATTTCAATTTGGTGTTAAGGATCAAATAGTACTTGAAAAATATGTATTTAGAATGTCAGAAAGATCCTCTTTTGTTATTTTAATTGTTATTTTCATTTGTGTTGCAAAATATGACAGCAGCTTAGGATCCTCACACATTTAAAAGTTCCACAGGCGACATTAATTGTTGGTTACATCTTTTTAATAAGGTAATTTAAATATTAAAATTAAATTTATATTTCAGTTAAACTGGATGAAACGATATAGTTTTAAAAGGATCTGTTATATACGAAACTATATTTAACAAACCTACATAAATGGATTTATAATTATGAATATATTGCTCTTTATTAATATTTTTTTTTATATTAATATATATTATACGATTATTCATTTCACTAATCCCTTATCTGCAAGGGATTTAATTTCTTTTACAATATCCGTCTAAAATTGAGATCATGGAATTTTATTCGTTCTACTTACTTTACTTTTAAAGACTTCCGAGGTTTTATTTATAATAGTAATATTTTAAAAAATATCTCATTTGTACATCTATTTATCCTTATTTTACCTAGAATTATGGAAAATAGAATGGACTATAATGATTGATATGTATGAGCAATAATATAAAATCCCAGAGGATTTTTGTGGGTCAGCTTCCAGATGAGTCATATTTCTGTAATACCAAAGTTTAAAGCGCATTGTTTTAATAGAGCTTAAGGTTCCTTGGGAAACCATCATCCCCATATACGATGTCATCAAGGTCATAACGAGTTCATTGATGAACCTACTAAGAATAGATTTGTCGTAAATTTGTACGCGGTAGAGGTGGAAGCCCGAGGTATCACAGCTTAACCTCTCTACAACCTACTAAAAGACTAAGGCCTGTCTAGAAGTAACATAAATTTATTCTTTCAAGTTACTTCGAATTTGATCGTACTTTCAAATTTGTTGAGGTTGAGAGAGGAATTTGGACGGTGGAGGTGAGCGGTTAATGTGCGTTAGATAGGAGCCCTAAAACCTACATCTGGGTCGCAAGTCCCAGGCACTGTAAAAAGTTCTCTTCCTGCAACGTGATTGATCCGGCGCCCGCACACTGAGTCCATGAAATGCTGAGAAGATGCGTTTCACACAATTCAGTTATTGTTACTTCAAGCATTATTTAAATACGGCTAAACTTATTATGTACTCGTATGTTCCTAAGCAACAAATACTAAGTAAAATAATTTGTAAGACATAGCAAAAAAAAATATTAAAAAAACGTAATGAAAATTGCCTAATTTGATGAAAATGATCTTTGTCTGGGTAGTTGGGAGGATTTTTGTTCATAAAGATTATTTTTAATTTGATCCCTAAAAACTACAAGGAACTAATACAACCACGCAAAATATATGCTTCAACGTTGAGTTTCCTTATGTTTACAAATCATAAATTTATGCGCGTTGTATAAAAAATAAATATATTGTCGAGTTTGGGACCTTTCCGTTTCTGAAATCCCTGTAGGTAAATTAGATTTTTGTAAACAAAAATCTTTAGTAGGTACATATATAAGAGATAATAATAACTGCATTTGCTTGAATTTTTTTTTGAGTAAACAAAGGAAACGAAAATCGATCATCCAAAATTTTATAAATAATTATTAATTTCTTTGTATTATGAACGTTTAAATTTGTCAGTAGGCTGACGTCTTATAAAGCCTTAAGTTAACGATATTCATTTTGTTGGATAGAACTATAAAAAAATTAAAATACTGGAGATATTAAATATTCTTTTAAATTACTTTCCATACCAAATTAATTGTTTTATTATGTATGTACAGATAAAAGCAAAAATCAGAAAAACACAAATGTCATAACTTTTGAGGGAGACTAAATATTTTTCCCCTTACGTAATTTCGTATGATGGATGAAAATATTTTCGTTCTTCGAGGAATTCAAATATAAAAAAAATATATTCCATTTCTAAGAAGGTACGGGAACAGGCAATGTAGAAATATAATATAAATGAAACCATTTTCTATAACGCTATGATTCTGCGTCAGTAGCTTCATGGATAATAAATAATTATAAGACAATAGATACATTTGAAAATAGTATCTTTGTTAATATTTTTCACGTTCTTTGATCATGCAGTTCTTTTGTTCTATACATACAAACATACATTTTTATCTATCATTTAAATTACATGAAAAGATTAAATGTAATATATTATTTAATACAACAACTATACATACCTATGATAACATTTTTATATTTTTAAACTGTAGTTTCTGGAGTTCGATTTTTATGTTTTTAATAAGAATAAATATTTGTATCAATTAATTATCAAATTGTATAATTTATAGGGTTTATCAGCTAAAACTAAAAACTTAAAACTAAAATATCATTTATTTTTGTTCAAGTAATAGGATTTCGAACCTATAATTAGGTAGCTCCTTTTCGTATTTGGTTTTGAATTTATGGATAAAATAATGCAGAAAAAATATTACCTAACAAATGAATGATGCAAGATAGGAGTAATTTTTTTGCCACTTTTAGTTCATTTTAAAGATAGTTTTATTGGGTACAGTTGATTAATATGGGTTCAGAAATGTAAGACTTCTTATCAAAAGTGATGTAAGGCATTTTTAGTCTATGATTACTCTATTAAATTTTCATGAATTTGTCATGACATATTCTCTATTTAAATAGCAATTTAAGTATTAGCTTAACATTGGTTTAATGTAAAAAGAATATATAAAAATGTTATAATTATAATGATATAAATATATTATTACGAGAAGTTTCTGTACTAAAACAGTTCACGTCCTTTACAAACCCATATAACTAAGTTGCGTGTCAAGGTGTGATCAAGGAAAATACATTGTATATTTATAAAAGCTAGATATATTCAGCCGATAAGTCAATAAATAACAAGACTTCATAAAACTTAAAAATTCATTTTAAATAGATTTATTTTTACCTTAACAATTCCGCTTAAAATAATTAAAATTTATTTGAATTTGACGTTATTTAATACGTTAGAATGAAAAGCGGTTAGACAATAAGGCGAGTTCATTTGCCTCCCTTGATAATTGTCTATGTTTTAATGAATTCTAATTGAAGTGAATAATGATATGAGAGAAAAGTTGGTAGTTTTTATAGAAAGAGTTTTTCATATACCTTTTATTTATTTTAATTTAGAGAACAATAAAATCTAAAAGGTTATTTCTAAGTTTTTGTAGTAAGGCGCTTCAGCCAAACATATTAGTACTAAAACTACAGAAAAGTGAATAAAGTATACTTAAAAGATATTGATTGGTACAGTATGTAATTTTGTTGTTAGTATAAAAATATTACTTGAAACAGGAAATTCAATTTGAAATTTTAATGAAGAATAGGTAGTGAAAATGAAAACAAAAGTTTTGAGAGCACTTCCATCCCTTGTGGAGTGTACTTGTTTTAAAGAGTCTTGACTTTGTGTGAATTCCTTCATTTGAGTTACAATATAATAATATATATAAAAATAACCATATCATATAAATTTTATATCTGTTTTATTCAAACCTATCATTGACTCTATAAATTTTTTAAGCCTTAATTTATTAGAAAATAGGACAAAGTATTAGATATATGTGTTATTTATGATTTAATATAGTTTTAGTGTCTTTTATTCAGTTTAATATCAACTTTACAATTGTAAATTCTACAATAAATAACTATCAAAATATCACTTCTATAATATTTTAATTTATATACCTTATAAAATATTCATTTTCTTTCATGAAGTTCGTCGTAAAATTTTACATCCGTGAATATCTGGGAAGTGAAAATATAACTTGGCCTTTAGTGATAACACAATTTCATTTGTCCTTCGTAATATTGAAATACAACGCCGATACAAAGGTCATGTAATAACAGAAATAGATTTCAAGCACGATTGTTTTATTATTTATGACATACATATATTTAGATGTAATTTTTGTCATATAATTTTTTTTTGTAGAAATTATAATATTAATAAAGAAAATAATGTATAGAAAATAGTTCACATAGTGTCATAGTGTGTTTTTCATCTACCTTATTAGTACAATTCTTAATTTATTTTTCTCATAACAAGATAATGGTCTCTATGTAACTACGACTTTAATGATATATTTTTATATAAATGTTGCGAAAAATGTTAATATAACAAGCTTGTTTATAAAAATTGTATATAGAGAGTATTATATCATTTACAAAATAACTAACGAAATTTGTTCGAATTATAAAGCATAGCATACTAATTTAATGAAAACTAAAATATTTCCATATTTGTAATCTCATTGACATATTATGACAGTGTTTTATAACGTTATTAAATATAATAATATATATTACCTGATTTCAAACTTTATTAAAGAAGGTTTTCAAAATATAATAATATTCATATTTGTTGAATTGCTTTAGTTCACTGTCGTTAGATTGTTTCTTGGAGGCTCTCACAAAAACCCTAGAAGCTTGTCATATTTTTAGACCCACGCTGCTTAAGTATGAACTAATCTGATTGCTTCACTACCTGTACATTTATACTTTCTAAAAATTTATCAAGATTTTTTAATATGATTTCGAACCTATATACTCGTCGTTGAAATTTTTTCATATAGTGTAGCGACGGAACTCTTAAAAAATTTGAGAAGGTTTGAAAAGGGTTATTTCAAAGGTAGACTCAAAAGGCAATGAATAATTTCCACAAGTATGTAAGAGGCTGTAAATATATTATATTGGT